AATCGCTGGATTGTCTGGTCCAGACACGATTATTTAGCGCAAACGGGCGTACCTTAAACAATTGTCAACTCGTTGCGTAATGGTTCACATATATTTCCTCATTCGTCACCACTCGCCCCTTTCCGTAACCTGCAAGAAGACTCGTCCCCCTATCGGTGAATTATATGTGCGAAAATATGACAAACCAATCAAAAACCAAAACCAAAAATTATTTCTGAGGGATTCTTTGACGGGGAACTTGAAATCATACTCGCCTTCTGATTGGTTTGTCGTATTTTCGCACATAACATTCATCGATAGGGGGACGAGTCTTCTTGCAGATTACGGAAAGGGGCGAGTGATGACGAATGGCATTTTCCGATCAATGAACGATGTTGTGACATTTTTTGGCACATGCCAGCAACCAGGGTGTGTCACCGTGGACGGCATGTTTAACGTGTGCAATGTGCAAAGTTTGAGCGTGTTTACTACCTTGTTTTACTAGACTTGCGCAGCAAAGATGATTTTATCCTTCTTAAAGCTGAAATGACAGGGGTTCCCTTAAATGTTGTTCCTCATATATAGTATGCATGCCTCTTTTCATATAATGTCATTCTTAGATTACTGGTGTTTAAGTCGTACTTTCACTCAATGACGAAACTTAAGAAATCGCGTAGGGATGTTTCGGTGAACCGCCCAGTTTGTCATATATACTGCCAAATGACTTGCAGCAATGATTGTGTACACTAACGTGGTGACACATTGGGCAACCCGTACCAAAACATATTTGGAATGTTTATCCATAGATAATTGAGAAACAGGACATTGCATTGACGTATGGAGCTTGAAAAGAGTCCCTGAAAATTGTTCTACATTGTAAATCCGGTTTCGAAACGTTCCACACTTGGCTGGCTACAAACATTCTCGACTTGGTCTTTGGTACAGGTGACAAGACCATTCCTTGTAACGCTCCATGCTTGATGGGCCACAGACATCCTCGACTTCTGTGTAGATGACAAGACCGTTCCCTGTAACGCTCCATGCTTGAAGGGCCACAGACATCCTCGACTTGATCTTTGGTACAAATGACAAGACAATTCCATGTAACGCTCCATGCTTGATGGGCCACAGACATCCTCGACTTGATCTTTGGTACAAATGACAAGACAATTCCATGTAACGCTCCATGCTTGATGGGCCACAGCCATGCTCGACATAGTATAGATGACAAGGCCGTTCCTTGTAACGCTCCATGCTTGATGGGCCACAGACATCCTCGACTTGATCTTTGGTACAAATGACAAGACAATTCCATGTAACGCTCCATGCTTGATGGGCCACAGCCATGCTCGACATAGTATAGATTAAAAAGGCCGTTCCTTGTATTGCCCCATGCTTGATGGGCCACAGACATGCTCGTCTTGGTCTTTGGTAAAGATGACAAGACCATTCCATGTAACGCACAATGCTTGATGGGCCACAGACATCCTCGACTTGGTCTTTGGTAAAGATGACAAGACCATTCCATGTAACGCTCCATGTTTGATGGGCCACAGACATGCTCGACTTGATCTTTGGTACAAATGAAAAGACAATTCCATGTAACGCTCCATGCTTGAAGGGCCTCAGACATGCTCGACATAGTATTGATGACAAGGCCGTTCCTTGTATTGATCCATGCTTGATGGGCCACAGACATGCTCGTCTTGATCTTTGGTACAGATGACAAGACCATTCCATGTATCGCTCCATGCTTGATGGGCCACAGACATACTCGACTTGGTCTTTGGCACAGATGACAAGACCATTCCATGTAATGTTCCATGCATGGTGGGTCACAGACATGCTCGACTTGATCCTTGGCACAGATGACAAGACCATTCCATGTAATGTTCCATGCTTGATGGGCCACAGACATGCTCGACTTGATCTTTGGTACAAATGACAAGACAATTCCTTGAACACTCCATGCTTGATGGGCCACAGACATGATCGACTTGGTCTTTGGTACAGATGTCAAGACTATTCCATGTAATGTTCCATGCATGGTGGGTCACAGACATGCTCCACTTCTGTGTTGATGACAAGACCGTTCCATGTGACGCTCCATGCGTGGTGGCTCACAGACATGCTCGACAATTGTATAGATGACAAGACCGTTTCATGTGACGTTCCATGCATGGTGGAGTTTTGGGTCCATCACTCGATTTTTCTGTTTTACCCCATTTATCTGTTAGAATATTCCCGCCCTGCCAAATACCATCTTCTCGAGGCAGGGGAGTTAACTGATTATAAAAGTCCAGTTTCCACCCTTGCCGAACTAGGCTGCAGGTACGGAGATATATTTTGACTGGACCAACGAGTCATAGTCCAATCAAAATCGAGTAACGATTACGACTACGATTATCTACTAGTATCAGATCGTCTACACTGGGCGAAGTTTATGTGATGTGGGAGGTTGAATCTATTCGGTCAATAGGAGGGGCATAGAAGGGACATAACTCGTAATGTTGGCGCTACGATCGAGCCCAGAAATACCATCTTAGTTCGGGTAGGATGGAAACTGTACGTTGACAGTCAGTTGACTCCCTTGCCTCGGGAAGATGGCCAAATACTAACACACTAAAGCGACAAGGCATCTTCCGCTTGGTTTGATATGCTTCATCTCCCTTGTTTATCCGTGGCTCCAATGCATTTGTGCGATCACATTCCACCTGTCAACACTATCCGATTTATCATTTCCAAAGTCTTACAAACAATATAATTTGGAGCCGTGGATGAATGTGTAATATATTTGCAACTGGATCCCCTTCTGTTATCTTTCCAGAAGTACCTGTTCATGGTTGTTCAGAATGGAGGATGGAGACGGCAAGTATGTAAGCCTGTCTGTTTCCGGGAATGACTTTGTTACCAGCCCCTGTGCAGAACAAGGCTTGTTGGTTTATGACGATGAGATACTATTCAGTCAATACGTCCTGCTATAGCAATTGAAACTCGTTGTCACAATAACATAGTTGACATGATGTGTTATATGACACAGCTGGGAACAGATCAACAGATATTGTCATCTTATTAGCCCAGTGGTTTCTGGTATCAATGAGGGGGCACGGGTGGCCTAGTCGTCTAAGGCGCCGCGATTCGCTGTGCAGAGTTGCGTCCACTGGACACGCCAGAAACCTATGATTGCGAGTTCGAATCCCGGTTCACCCCGATTATGTTTCTAGGTTTGTCAGCGCCATACCCGTGCTCGTGGGTTTCACAGAAGTGGTAAACGTCTAAGACCTGCATCACTTCGGGCTTTCCTCCCACATTAAGCTGACACGCCGTGATATAACTGGAATAATGTTAAAAGCGGTGTTAAACCCAACTCACTCACTCACTCTGGTATCAATGTTGGAACAGGGCATCCGAGTGTATACATGTAGTAAAATGTATTTGGTATACTTTGAAATCTTGGAATCTCTTACTCGTCTTCCAAAACCAATGTTGCCAGACTTGAAAGTATCAGACAACGTGTCTTTTGTGGGTGTTTCAATGATAACCATGATCGGAAAGAGCACTACAAGCACATATCAGTGGATAAATCGTCACTATGAATAGATATTATTGTCACTTTTGTGAATGTGTGTGTTGCCCCTGGAAGTGCCATGTCAAAAACAGGGTAAAGATCAAAGGTCACTGTCACAGAAATAGGAGTCAATGTATCTCGCATCTTTCTTAACTGTTGGGTATATTGTAAGTAAAGCACAGTGTATTTGGTTGCATAAGAAATCTAACAAAATCTACTTTTTGTAAAAGTCACTTTCATGACCTTGATTCATTTACGAAGAAGCATGCTAGGAGCAACACAAACACTCGCTAAATGTTTCAAATGTATCAAATGTTTATCCATGTTTATGTACTAGTACTGTAGTGTTCTTTCCACAATGGGGCGCGGTCGGGCAGCCAAGTGATTAAAGCGTTCGTTCGTCATGCCGAAGACCCGGGTTTGATTCCCGACATGGGTACAATGAGTAAAGCCCATTTCTGGTGTTCCCGCCGTGATATTGCTGGAATATTGCTACAAGCGGCGTAAAACCATACTCGCTCACTCACTCACTTCCCACAACAGCATTGTTACAGCCACGGAACTGTCCCAGACATTGCCTGACGCTTGTCTTGCACATTTTGAGAAACTAGAGATACTATTGTAAGCTTTGAATTCCAACTATACCAAATACATCATGCTATACCTCATCTTCCCGGGGCAAGTGAGTTAACTGACTATAAAAGTCCAGTTTCCACCCTTGCCGGACTAGGCTGGTATTATGGAGTTACATTTTGACTGGACTAACGAGTCTATGCATAGTCCAATCAAAATCGCGCACCGATATCGAAATCCGGTTCGTAAAGTGTCATGCAGTATTTGCAAAGCATGTGCGCCGCTAACTCGTTGTCAACAGATATTTTCTATATCTTTTCATGTTTTTAATCAAGGTGCTCACGTGATTTGAAGCACTTTGCGATGTAAGACTGGTTCGAGCACAATATAGATCTTGATTATTGATCAGATCGTCTTGACCAGGCGCCACCGTTTTGTTTGAAGCAAATGCAAGTGATACGAGAGGTTGAATCTGATTGGTCAATGGGAGAGGCATAGTAAGGACATTACTCGTAGTAGCCACTGATGGCAAGGGTGGAAACTGGACTTTAAACGTCAGTTAACTCTCTTGCCTCGGGAAGATGGCTATACCTCGTGTCATTTTGTGCTAGCTCCCCGGAGACTGCCAATAGCCTACGTGGCAATTTAGAAGCAGAATGATTACGGGTCGATTCAAATCGTTATCGGATGGTTAAATGCACTATGTTTGATCAGACTGATATATACAATTGTAGAGAGATGATTAGCATCATTTGGAGGTTGGAGGGTCATCATTATGCTCATGTATGTCTTTGTAAGGAGTAGTCAAACACATCTTAAAATCTATTTGCATTATGTTAGAGGTATTGACTAATTCAAAAACGTTTTTTTCCAGGAAATTCTGAGTCAAGTCTTACAGTGGGGTATGTCTGCGACAGCAATCAGAAAGATTTCAAAATATGGGGAACATATGCACTCATCAAATATATGGCTTCAGGAAACTTGATTCAGCGATCTTTAAAAATGAGCTACAATCAATTTGGTAAAGATACCTTTTTTTAGTTGTTCATGTTATTATATGATATCTGACGAAAGTGTACTAACTTAAGAATAAAATTATTTATATTGATATTATAAAGATAAATGGCAATATCAAGTATGTCTAAAACATGGTATAATAGATTATAGAATAGCATCTGACTGCAAATATAGCCAATGCGAGGCTACATATTAATACACTTAACAACATGTGTATTGCAGATGACATGGCAATGAACACAACATAAAGCCGCTATTGGGAAATGATGCATGTCATGCTAATAATGATTTCTGTCGGGTCACACTGACACGATTGTGTAATGTACGCTGATTCGATGTTATCGTACATGGTGATTTGTTACACTCCAAGTTCACGTGTATATAGATAGATCATGTATTTATATCCCTTTGCAGTACAATCTTCAGTGGAACAATTGAGATTATTTGCTGAATCAGAGGGAAAATTCATCAGGTCACCTAACTACCCATTTGACTATCCACGGTAATCACTTTTGGAATATTTTAAAATAGCTTCAAACTGAATAACGTACCAGAAATGATAAAAATAGGCCAGTGTTATGTTGTTTACTTTACATTTTTATGCATGTTGTAAAGAAATGCGGGATATATATTGGTTACTAAGCTATGAAATTGTTTATCCTTGTTATCAAGGAATGAAGCATATACGTGGGTACTGAGCCATATTGTAAAAGAATAAAGACCTAGCTCCTAAGGTATGATATATCAAACTTTCATCCATATTGTCAAGGAAGGCGGAATATATCTGGGTACTAAGGTATGCTATATTTCATCCATATTGACAAGCAAGGCGGAATATATCTGGGTACTAAAGTATGATATGTTTCATCCCTATTGTCAAGCAAGGCGGAATATATCTGGGTACAATGGTTTGATATGTTTCATCCCTATTGTCAAGCAAGGCGGAATATATCTTGGTACGATGGTTTGATATGTTTCATCCCTATTGTCAAGCAAGGCGAAATGTATCTGGGTACAATGGTTTGATATGTTTCATCCCTATTGTCAAGCAAGGCGGAATGTATCTGGGTACAATGGTTTGATATGTTTCATCCCTATTGTCAAGCAAGGCGGAATATATCTGGGTGCTAAGATATGATATGTTTCATCCCTATTGTCAAGCAAGGCGGAATATATCTGGGTGCTAAGATATGATACGTTTCATCCCTATTGTCAAGGAAGGCGGAATATATCTGGGTACTAAGGTATGATATGTTTCATCCCTATTGTCAAGCAAGGCGGAATATATCTGGGTACAATGGTTTGATATGTTTCATCCCTATTGTCAAGCAAGGCGGAATATATCTGGGTACTCAGATATGATATGTTTCATCCCTATTGTCAAGCAAGGCGGAATATATCTGGGTACAATGGTTTGATATGTTTCATCCCTATTGTCAAGCAAGGCGGAATATATCTGGGTACAATGGTTTGATATGTTTCATCCCTATTGTCAAGCAAGGCGGAATATATCTGGGTACAATGGTTTGATATGTTTCATCCCTATTGTCAAGCAAGGCGGAATATATCTTGGTACAATGGTTTGATATGTTTCATCCCTATTGTCAAGCAAGGCGGAATATATCTGGGTACTAAGGTATGATATGTTTCATCCCTATTGTCAAGCAAGGCGGAATATATCTTGGTACAATGGTTTGATATGTTTCATCCCTATTATCAAGCAAGGCGGAATATATCTGGGTACTAATGTATGATATGTTTCATCCCTATTGTCAAGCAAGGCGGAATATATCTGGGTACTAAGGTATGATATGTTTCATCCCTATTGTCAAGCAAAGCGGAATATATCTGGGTACTAAGGTATGATAAGTTTCATCCCTATTGTCAAGCAAGGCGGAATATATCTTGGTACTAAGGTTTGATATGTTTCATCCCTATTGTCAAGCAAGGCGGAATATATCTGGGTACTAAGGTATGATATGTTTCATCCCTATTGTCAAGCAAGGCGGAATATATCTTGGTACAATGGTTTGATATGTTTCATCCCTATTATCAAGGAAGGCGGAATATATCTGGGTACGTACTAAGGTATGATATGTTTCATCCATATTGTCAAGCAAGGCGGAATATATCTGGGTACTAAGGTTTGATATGTTTCATCCCTATTGTCAAGCAAGGCGGAATATATCTGGGTACTAAGGTATGATATGTTTCATCCATATTGTCAAGCAAGGCGGAATATATCTGGGTACTAAGGTTTGATATGTTTCATCCATATTGTCAAGCAAGGCGGAATATATCTGGGTACTAAGGTATGATATGTTTCATCCCTATTGTCAAGCAAGGCGGAATATATCTTGGTACAATGGTTTGATATGTTTCATCCCTATTATCAAGCAAGGCGGAATATATCTGGGTACTAATGTATGATATGTTTCATCCCTATTGTCAAGCAAGGCGGAATATATCTGGGTACTAAGGTATGATATGTTTCATCCCTATTGTCAAGCAAAGCGGAATATATCTGGGTACTAAGGTATGATATGTTTCATCCCTATTGTCAAGCAAGGCGGAATATATCTTGGTACTAAGGTTTGATATGTTTCATCCCTATTGTCAAGCAAGGCGGAATATATCTGGGTACTAAGGTATGATATGTTTCATCCCTATTGTCAAGCAAAGCGGAATATATCTGGGTACAATGGTTTGATATGTTTCATCCCTATTATCAAGCAAGGCGGAATATATCTGGGTACTAAGGTATGATATGTTTCATCCATATTGTCAAGGAAGGCGGAATATATCTGGGTACGTACTAAGATATGATATGTTTCATCCCTATTGTCAAGCAAGGCGGGACCGCCTCCGTGGTCTAGTTGTAGAGCGTCCGCCCGGAGAGCGGAAGGTCCAGGGTTCGATCCCGGGCCGCGTCATACAAAAAGACGTTAAAAGATTGTACTTGTTGTTACCCTGTCTGGCGCTCGGCATTAAGGGGCTAAAACAAGGACTGGTCGGCTGGGAGTCAGTATACTGTGTCTGAGTGGGGTATTCATGTTAAACTGCGGCATGGTATCTCAGTGAGCTGGCACTATAAATCGGCATCAGTCCGGACTAGTACAAGCAGCCACACACACACATACACGTGCATGCACGTCGCTATATAAGTGCAATAATCTTGGACGCGACGTTAAACCCAATTTCACCTCACCTCAAGCAAGGCGGAATATATCTGGGTACTAAGGTATGATATGTTTCATCCCTATTGTCAAGCAAGGCGGAATATATCTGGGTACAATGGTTTGATATGTTTCATCCCTATTGTCAAGCAAGGCGGAATATATCTGGGTACAATGGTTTGATATGTTTCATCCCTATTAACAAGGAAGGCGGAATATATCTGGGTACAATGGTTTGATATGTTTCATCCCTATTATCAAGGAAGGCGGAATATATCTGGGTACTAATGTATGATATGTTTCATCCCTATTGTCAAGCAAGGCGGAATATATCTGGGTACGTACTAAGATATGATATGTTTCATCCCTACTGTCAAGCAAGGCGGAATATATCTGGGTACGTACTAAGGTATGATATGTTTCATCCCTATTGTCAAGCAAGGCGGAATATATCTGGGTACTAAGGTATGATATGTTTCATCCCTATTGTCAAGCAAAGCGGAATATATCTGGGTACAATGGTTTGATATGTTTCATCCCTATTACCAAGGAAGGCGGAATATATCTGGACACTACAAGGAAGGCGTACTGTTGAAACCATTGACGTGGAAGTGATCACAACAGATATGGAGAAGTCAGAAGATTGTGTCAACGACAGAGCTGAAGTTTATGATGGTAATCAGAATACCATTATCATTATTCCGAACTAATTACCCCCTTTGTAAAACAAACAATGTAAAGCATAATGAAATATTTTCCAACAAACGTTATTTTTTCTATACAGAGTTATTCAGTGTAACATATCATGTTTAATGGTAAATATAAAATACCGAAGCAAGAGAATAACCATTCTCAATTATCCGCCGAAACAGATTCCATTTGGCGTATAGGGCAATAGCTGTGGAAATTAAACGAATGGACCACTGAAAATCAGTGATGACAGCAGGTGTAAAGGGTAAGCATGTAATGCCTGGCGCCGTACAGTAGTGCTTCCGGCATTTGACGGCGGTCTATAAACAAACCAGACTATGCCGGGTGTAAGAGGCACTCAATCACTGGAGTTTTTGGTCCAAACTCGATTATTTACAGACCACCGTCAAGTATAACTTGAATACTGATGAAACAAACTGGTTATATATATGTACCTTGCTCCATCATGGATGGGGTATAAATATACCATTCATAACAACTATCTTCGCAGGTGAGTCAAAGAGGGACAGACTTCTTGGAAAGTGGTGTGGCTTGGAGACGCCATCATTTCGAAGTTCGGGGCAATATCTGACCATCGTTTTGATTAGCAACGACAACGACATCTCCGGCGGTGGATTCCGAATCAAGTACAATTTAACACAAGAAGGTGAGTCAGTTTAAGTCATGTTTACCAATTGTTTTTCCACATTAACAAAAATAGTAGCTTTCCTAGCACATTAAGTTGACACACCGAGATATAACTGGAATACTGTTAAAAGCGGCGTTAAACACAACTCACTCACTCACCCACTCACTTGCAAGCCGAGAAATGGAACTTGTCCACCCCCCTCTCTTTCATACTTTCTAGATAAGCGACAGGAAACCGAGCCGGGTGGTTAAATGTTGTCCATGCTATAATTCTAAGAATGTCCAGTTTTACCTTTTCCATCGCCTAAGGCTTCCCCTTCCTATCATTTTCGCAAGGGGTGCACTGTCTTGCAATCGTTTGATTGTGATAGCTTTCTACAATATGATAACTTTACTGAGAAACGAAAATCGAGTGTCAAAGCTTTGTTCTCATTTCACATGCAGTTTTTTAATGTCACTTGACTTGTCCCAAAAGAAATCAACGTATATGGAACAACTACAAAGACAACCTGACTGGATTTTTAACGGTTCTTGAAACTCCGTTACCTAAAAAAAGTAATTTGTATTGACGGCGATATGTAAATGGATCATATGTCCATGTCAAAATGATGGGATCTAATTGGTCCACGTGGTCCACGTGGTCTTCATGGGGTTTTATGCATCCCTCGTTAGGTTTTATACAACTCGTCTCCGGCTCGTTGTATTAAAAAAAAAGCGGGACGCATATGACCCCATGTGCCCCTCGTGATCCCGCTACAACTTATAACTTGTTTAATTTCCAGTGTCACACACAATGTTAATTTCCGTGACAGAAACACTAACAGCTGAAACACTGAGAACAGACTTACGTCTCGTGGGTTGTATATTTATCATAATTAATTGTGACATAACAACATTTACACAAACATTTACGACTGCTGTAAGATCAATTGATCAATGAAATGTGTCAGTGTACTGTATAAATTATGTTATCGACATAATATCAACCATGTAAAAACATGTTGCGTGGACATATGGTGATAATGGTATATTGTCTCTCATATAATTATTTACATGCATGCCGTTTCACAAAACACCCTCAGCGTTTTCTAGCGAGCACTTTGATCGCTTTGTACAACGCCACCCAGATATATACATTACTCTATTAATTATAAATGTCTTGTGTTTTTAGAATCTACGACTATTTCCAATATCCGGTTCTACGACCACGGTAGACAACCTTATTTACGACAGACGCAGCAGAAACATTTGTGGTATTTTACCACAATAATCAGTATAGGTAACAGTGTATTATCCTTAACGGTTCTTACACCGTGGGGGGGGCACGGGTGGCCCAGTCGTCTAAGGCGCCGCGATTCGCTGTGCAGAGTTGCGTCCCTTGGGCACGCCAGAAGCCTATGATTGTGGTTTCGAATCCCGGTTCGCCCCGATTATGTTTCTAGGTTTTTCAGCACCATACCCGTGCTCGTGGGTTTCTCACGTCTTAGACCTGCATCACTTTGGGCTTTCCTCCCACATTAAGCTGACACGCCGCGATGTAACTGGAATACTGTTAAAAGCGGCGTTAAACTAAACTCACTCACTCTTACACCCTGTTGTTTAGGAGCATGGTATCCATTGTATGCTGGTTGAAATATAGGAGATTAAGTACTAGCTCTGGTCTCCGTCACCATCTTATCCTGGGCCCCGTTCCTCAAAGCGATCTTAGCACTAAGGTGATCGTAAGTCCCATACTTTAACATAGGCCTACGATCATCGTAGCGCTAAGATCGCTTTGAGGAACGGGGCCCTGGTCCGTCTGTAGTGCATTGCAGTACATAACGTCAACGCCAGAGAATAACCACTTTCGATTGTCCACCGAAACAGATTGGACGTAAAAGGCAAAATAGCCGGGAACATTTTAGAATGGATCGTTGAAAATCAGTCTTGACACCAGCTGTTCTTGAAAAGGGTGAGCATTGCTTGCCCCACCGGTAGCATCCGCCGCTCACACGTTTTGCATAAAAAGTAAGTGTTTGCAATTGTTTGAAAAAAACTCTACAATACAGTGACACGTATATAGCTCACCATGTTCATTTGCACATTTCAGACGTAAATGTTGGAGCCACAGTTCGAGGGGCGACTGGCGGTTTGCTGGCGATTGTCATGATTGGAGCCAGTATAGTCATCATATAGTTCCAAATCCGAAGGTACCCGACAATCAAGAATCCAGACGGACGTTCCAATCGAGATCATGCAACAATCAACAAGGCATATAGCAGCAATTATATGTAACAGTAACCCGTCTGCTTAATATAAGATTTTTTTTCCAAAGGAACATCTTTTTTATGTTTGAACTATAAAACGGAACATACATGTATGGCTACGTGAATCTTATCATGTTCCCGTTATTACATGTTCCCGTGTTTGTGATGCTTATTGCCATTTGCAAAACAAAAAGATTTCAACTGCATATTTGTAGTCGTTGTTTTATGAACTATTTAATTAAGAGATAAACAGCTTGTGTTTTCAATGTAGAGCTGTCATTCTACCATGACTAAATAAAACGCGAACTCTCTTGAGTCCAGTGTTTTGAGTAGGTAGACTATCTGAATAACGGAATCTCCGACGGCAGCCTTTAAACAAAATATGGCGCTTTAAATGTTCAAGCAGTTTGTTCACACCCTAACACTTCACTCGAACTTATGACAAGCATTGAAAACATATAAGCTAGTTAGTCGTAGGCTAACATGAGGTGGGCGCCTCTCAAGAAAACTAAGCAAGCCTTTCAAAGCTTCCATTCTACACCGCACGTCACCACTATAACGTCATATCGCTCACTGTGACGCATAAGATATGACGCCACAGTCGTATATAGAAAAGCGCCAAATTCCAGCCCCCAGTTCTCCGCAAAACTTAAAATACATTCTCTTTGTAGGTTTCTATCGTGTTTTCCAAACGAAATATTTTGCCACATATCCTTTGATTATTGTAGTAACCGCAACTTTGCATTTGTAATCCTTCATTGTAGATAAATTATTCAAATATGCCTACCGACAATGACAAAAATACTATTCCATGAAAATTAGCTTCTGCGGTGTTGCTGGCCGTCAAATCGGCTATTTCAATCAGAGGGGGTTTATTGTAAATTTGACAACCTCTGTTTGACCAATCAGAATCGAGAATTTCAAAATTCATGGTAGAATGAACATAACTGAATGTGTATTTCGTTCCAACGTTCCAACCAATATACACCTGAACATTTTCTGTGATCACCATTGCAGGATAGCAAACGTGACAATTGATGTTACACAAGAATGCATGTTTGTCCATGCACAATGCATGTATGACACTCTGCGTTGCCATCAATGGCTATAGATTTGAGAAAAACGGTGTATTTCTTTTCACTGTGATTTCATTTCGATACACAAATAATATTAGAAAGTAACTCAATATGATATAATTAGAAAGCATTATTTATCACACCCCATGTTGTACTTCTTGAATGAGACATATAGTTCATGAAACTTGAGACATATAGTATGACACAATGCATTTCTGTCCTCTAAAATTAAAACTTTTCATTTTCCTGATGCTGATTTTATTGAAACTGAAGCTAGACTAGCTTTCATGTAAATCTGGATTGGTTTTGTTTTCATAAAATACCTTTATTCCACAGTCATGGTTAATGACTAGTTTTGAATACTATCGCATATGTACATGGAATGTAACATTTGGGTGCCTCACAGAGGTATAGATTCAAACTAACAACTGCTTCATTATTGGTATGGTGCAAATGCTTTTTTAAATATTTCCAAATACATTTCACCCCAAGATATTGAAACTGCACGTGTATGATTGCGATCCTTGATGTATTATTAAGTATCAATATTTATACTTTATATAAATATATCTAGTAATACCTAGAATTATAAAGTAATATATAATTAATACCTTCCGGGAAATATTTGGAAAACTTATCAATACCTATTTGTTAGTCTTCTCAGAAACTTGTGGCCGTTAGAGACAATATTGTTGTTTATTGGCATCATTGCGGAAGCGTTTATTTCCCCACTACAATCAGCAGCATTCTACTTTCACTGTACATGAATATAACGGCAAGCTGTATGTAAACCAGTGATAGATTGCGAGGCAATGTCATTACAGAGCTTGATAATTATGTTTGTCCATTAGTCATTTTGCATATTACTTCTGACAGCAATAACATTAAGTGGGTGTCTTTCTTGATATTACTAAAATGTATCAGTACAACAAGATGTTCTCATACACAACTACCTGTAAATGAACCGCCTGCTGTTACGCAGGCATTTACTTCTATTTATAGTAAATTAATATACAATAAATGATAGATCTGGAAACGCTTCGATTATCAATACTTAGTTTTGCAAGCTCTATTTGATTTTATGAAACATATATCAAGAAATAAATTTATTCTTTTTTCTTTTAATTATGTGTACATGTTTTCTGTTTTCACATGTCGGGGTGGATGTTCAACGTCACTCATTTACTCACGGACGAAAACGAATCCATTATGTTTCTACGAAGACATATCCGAACCTTATTGTATGCACGAAGGGCATTGTATCTTCAGTATGAAGAGCTCTGTACTTCCACTGATCTTATAATAATATGTAAAACATGTTCCTATATATTCATATGCACTTTCAACTAACATGGTATGTTGACGTTAATGAGATTGTCAGCTGGCGACCATATTAAGAAATTACATATATGAACTTTCAGTGTACTGTGACATTATTTTCGTCAATAGTTGCTTCAATAATACACATACATGTACCTGTAAAATATATTCTCACCCAATATGTTTGAAAATTAGCTTCTTAATTGGAGGCGTTCCTTCATGTACCTAAAGACATCAATAACACTGAAATCAAATCTGATTTGAATGACCATACAATCAAGTTCAATGTAATCAATGATACACGTGTACCTCAACTTCAAACTTCCCTTGCATTGACTTCTCCCAGTGGCTTAGGGCCTTATATAACATTGTAGCCATTGAAAGGTTTCCTTGCCTTATACCACGTGCCAAATCTCATCATCTTAGCAAACAAAACTGTGTATATAGCCTCTTCACCGTCATACCTTTGTATTGCAGTGTTATCCTGAAATGGGGGTGGTCGGGTAGCTTAGTGGTTAAAGCGTTCGCTCGTCACGCCGAAGACCTGGTTCGATTCCCGACATTGGTACGATGTTTTCCACATGGGGGCAATGTGTTAAGTCCATCTGTGGTGCCCCTCCCCGTGATATTGATGGAATATAATTTTGCTAAAAGCGGTGTTATATCCAACTCACTCACTCGTTCATTGCATCAATACGGTATCAGTGGCACCTGGGTTGCATTTATATATGTAATAAATATAAGGACGAACTGCACAAGACAATTACGTTGGCACATATAGTTATATATAGATATATTATAACATGATAAATAAGTCATGAAAATTTAACACATAAAACGTTTGCTAATTTAACCACCAAAAGAAGTTTAAATATAAGCCGCGTAAGACATGTTTACGTATATTTAAAGACCGCTAATTAATATTAGTCGTCAGAGTTCTACCCTGCACTCGCGTTTAAACTGTGTTTATTATTGCGAAATTTTATTGACCTACTTACAAGTGGGTCGGTTTGACCTGGTCTGCGTGTTGAAATCGGAAATCATGTTGGTGAATTCGTCAACAATACGGTTTCTATATGATTAATAAAATGGATTACTGAAGTTCAGTACACAAATTCTTTTCAGAAATTGCATCTATTTTGATTGTAAATGTAGACACTAGTGTACTTATTGATTGACCAAATAACTATCAACGCATGAAAAATATGTCATAAGAAGTGAGGGGTATTGGGTTTAACGTCGCGTTGAAAATTATGTAATTCATTTAGCGACGTGCACATATACGTGTGTGTGGCTGCTTACACTAGTCCGAAAATATGTCGGCTTTATACATGAGTGAAGTGTTAACCCACTGCGTTACCTTGCCCCAGTCTAAAATGCATACCCTACTCCGACACATATTACTGGCTCCGAGCTGCCCGGTCCTTGTTGTATACCCTCGTTTAACGCCTGTTGATATAACACGATCAGGGGATCGAACCGACTTTCCACGCTCCGGGTGAGATAATAAAAGCGACAAAACCCTTTCCATATTTCATAAGAAATCTCTGCCAAAATCAAGATAAAAAAACACGGAACATATTGTATAATTCAAATAGGGAATTGCATCAGACATAACTTTCGTCACTGATCCGGCTGTATGGCAGCATATCGATCCACGCAGTTGGGATACGATGATATGCATCAACCAAGTCAGCGAGCCTGACCACCCGATCCCGTTAGTCGCCTCTTACGACAAGCATGGGTTGGCCGAAGACCAAATCTAACCCGGAATCTCCACGGGGCTCATTCATTTATGTGTTACCTAATATGATCATCCATACAATATATTTATTATATATTGAACCCCGTGTTGTACAGGTTGGTGTAGATTGTGACCATTGATGGGCATGTAACTGGAATGTGAGGTGAGGTGAAATTGGGTTTAACGTCGCGTCCAAGATTATTGCACTTAAATAGCGAAGTGCATGCACGTGTATGTGTGTGTGTGTGGCTGCTTGTACTAGTCCGGACTGATGCCGATTTATAGTGCTAGCTCACTGAGATACCATGCCGCAGTTTAACATGAATACCCCACTCAGACACAGTATACTGACTCCGAGCCGACCAGTCCTTGTTTTAGCCCCTTAATGCCGAGCGCCAGACAGGGTAACAACAAGTACAATCTTTTAACGTCTTTTTGTATGACGCGGCCCGGGATCGAACCCTGGACCTTCCGCTCTCCGGGCGGACGCTCTACCACAAGACCACGGAGGCGGTCCAACTGGAATGTAACATCTATCAATGAAAGTAAAGGTAGTTGTCTTCAATGTACCGTTTGGTACAAGGTCGTCCTTTGTAATTATAACCATGGCATCGTAATGGGAAAACGACTTCCACCGTCGTATACCTGATAGCAGTTTCTTGTCTGTTTAAGGCATATCCAGTTTCATATCATATTTGTTTTTTTTGCAAAATCCTTTTCTCAGTTCATCCAACTTTACTGATACTGCAATTGATGGTGTCTTCTTTGATCTATGATATGAGGTCCATTTTTGGAGATAAAGACACATGTAGAGGCATGTACACATGGCTCCGTTAGTGTTAGTTTATGCAGACAACATTTTGCTTTCTGATGCTGAGCGTGGGTGGCACTGTTGGCTTTCATAAAATGTGTCAGTGTAATAGGTTAGGTGAAATGGGGCTTAACGTCGCGTCCTAGATTATTGCACTTACTCGTATATAGCGACGAGCATGCACGTGTGTGTGTGTGTGTGTGTGTGTGTGTGTGTGTGTGTGTGTGAGTGTATGTGTGTGTGTGTGTGGGGGGGGGGGGGGGGGGGCTGCTTGTACTAATCCTGATAGATGCCGATTTATAGTGCAAGCCCACTGAGATACCATGCCACAGTTAACATGAATACCCCACTCACACAGTATACTGACTCCGAGCCGACCAGTCCTTGTTTTAGCCCCTTAATGTAACCGGGTTTTCTTGGCTTTATCCATGATTTTATATAGATGACACCAAGACGGCTACGGGGTGTGAGGATTATGTTTATTATAATCACGATAGTCACCCTGTAATAAGAAACAGATAATATAGTATATGCATATTAAAACATAATATATATCATATCATCATCAAAGCAATACAATCATTTCTGTTACATTACTTACAACTAATTATTATTAGATGATATGATAGAAATGGCTTACAGTACATATTAAGTAAAATGGTTACACATACCCTATGTGTGGCACAAGGGTGTAAAACGTGTTACCCTTGAAATGTCACCATTCTTGATATGTCCTGCAGAAGAAAGAGCAGGAATAAATACTTAGAGTGACTAAATACAATGAAATGAATAACAAAATGCATAGTTGGTGCAATTCCATTAATGTAGATATAACTTGGCATGTATACAAGATAATATTAAAATACACTAAAGCTTAGGTTTAAAGTTCAGCCTCTAAACCACATTCATTCAAAACATCAACATTAATAG